GGGGGGGGGGGGGGGGGGGGGGGGGGGGGGGGGGGGGGATCCGTAAACGTTGTACACGAGCGAACGCATGAGAACGAGCAGATTCACACAAGGTGCGGTGACGGTGCCGAAATGAACAAGGCGGTACGATCCTTAACCACGGGCGAATCAGTACATGATTCGCTGCGGGGGCCAGAATATCATGGAAGACTGCACCTTCTACAGAGCAACCAACGCATGAGGGGGTTCACACATGACAGGATATTTACGCTACCAGCACCGGGCATCATGCATCCCCGCGGACTGTGACCAGTGTTATTGCCCCAACGCACGGCATCAACAATTATTTGTTCCATTGCACCTAGTTTTCGCTAGAACCTCTGGACACCCGCCCTTACTCCCTTACAGTCGAGTTTACGGTGTATAACCCGGGTTGCTCAAGACGCACTCCAAAAATACCTAGTACCAGGTAGGTATGCAGGAAGACAGCAGTCTATCTAGTCTTAACACTTAGGACGTCATCTAAGAGGTAATACTGTGTAGTTTTCGTCCTCGAAAAACGACCAAGTTCGACAATACACGATCGCAGTCATCATATGTTGGATTCGTGCGCGAATATTTCGCGTCGTAGTGTATCGATTAGAACCCCAGGACGCAATCGGGGGCATGGCAGGCGAGACAAGGAAGGGGTCAACGAACCTCAATGGCGGATGCTTCATGAGCATTTCCGCCGCCGCTTTCGAAGCTGAGTACATGCCGCTTCCCGCCATTCCCGGCAAAGCTGTCGTCCTCAAGGCCGTGGATGAGGTGTTGACGATGATGGAGCCCTTCCCCCCTGCAGTGTTCTTCATGGCAGGAATCTGCAACGGCAAGCGGCCGGGGTGCGGGAGGCTACTCAGTACAGCGTCGGGCACCGCTCAAGGAATTGAGTGGTGGATAAACGATGCCCTTCAATTGAAACACACAAGCTTACCCATGTTCTGAAAAGACCGAGAGTAATTCATTGCGATTGGTCAACACTGCTGAGCGATTTCCGGTGGAGGAAGTACAAACCGAGACTCGCGCAGCGCACAATAAGCTATTTTGTTGCGATTACAGTTCTGTAACATCTATCACTCATCCCTATGAGCGCTTCTATGAGCGTTTCCAGAACGATGTTTGTTCCCATCCTTATGTCTACTCAGCAGTTTCAACAACGAAAGACGTATCAAGGAATCAACGAAGGGGGTCGGGTCAATACAACAAATTGCATGCTCCACACAACGGTTTTGAGAGTTCACTTGGTACGTCCCATAGAATGCCCATGGAACGACCGGGACGGACCGCAGGATGTCGCATGCGGCGTTCCACTACGCGTACAGCTGTTTCACGCGTTCCATGAACCCGACGCATAGTTGGGTAGATGGGATCCTTGGGGCTACTAGTGGTCTCTCACTCACGGCGTGCTTGGAAATTCATGGTAATTTCACCACAAAGTCTTAGTGGACATGTAAGGAACGGTGCGGGACGGTCCATCGGAACGATCCCCTTAATGTCTAGTTGGAATAAGGGTTGGGTCCACCCGTGGGGCAAGCGGAACGATACGCCAAGAATGCCTGGCCTGTTCCATCAGCGTCGCATGGAAACTCCCTCGTAAACGTCCCTCACGACTTCCAGTTCGGGCTCGCATGCCCCGCTCGACAGGATACATGTTCCGCACACCTGATACTTGAAGCACCAGGCGAGCGACTTGACGTTGATGTTGAGCAGGTGGTCGATGGTATCTTCCGTGATGTCCGCGAAAGGGACCGCCCTGAAAACGCCCGCGTTGTTGAAGGCCACGTGTAGCCCGCCGAACTTCTCGATCGCCGTGTCCACCATCCTCTTGCAGTCTGCTTCCTGTTTACGGGGGGGAGACGGGAGTAGTAGCAGACGCCGTGGGTGTCACGGGTTGGGCGTATGACCCGTGTGCCCACCGCTGGAGTACTGCAGCGACTATTGGGGCCCTATGAAATAGCGAAAAAAAAGAGAACACGCAAAAAACGAATTTCAGATTTCACATGAGGTACTGCGGTTGAAAAAAACTGTTCTAATCTGGGCTAGGAGGCAAGAAACACCAAACAACAATCATGAGCAATCGATGCCCCCGAGACGCCGACGCATTAACCTAGTGATCCGGGGGAGCACTCGACACGACCCCACTATTTTTTTGCTGCACTGTCGCCTCCTACGATGCGCGGCCACTGCTGTCCTTCCTTCTCTTTCGCACGCTCTGTAGCTTCCACTCGTTACTCGACGTCCTACAACATTTCACGCTCTCTTCTCAACGGAATGACATGGAAGACGGTTCGCATTTCTTCCCCTCGTGTCCCCAGGTTTCCGAACAATCAGACTAATGAAACTACAATCCGGAACTGATCCATCAAGAAACGCCATTGAATTATGTCTGTTCGACGAATATTTCCTGATTTCACATGAGGCCGAGTCTTGCGTCGTGGTTATTTCGGGATGCTGTTTTATTGTGGTGGGTCCTTTTCCCAGCCCAAAAAGTTATAATATGAGCGTCTTACGCGGAGGAACTTGGCCAATTACAAACGCCCAAATTCCAAATCGCCGAATATTTCCTAGGATCCCAGCTGCCGCGTTGGAAAATAGGGCCATTTTCCAAACTGGGTCGGCTGATAATTTCCAGTTTGGAATTGGGGGGGGGTCACCCTCTGGTCCACCCCGACTGTGCCAGAACGAGGAACTCACCGTCTGTTGGCCAAACAGAGGCCAGTATTTTAGAGGCCATGCACAAACCTTCTGCAGGTATCTAAAATTCAGGGCGTTCTGCGTCCCAGCTCATGTCCCAGAAACAGATCGTATTGTCCAGTTTTGATTGCACACGGCCTTTAAACGTGAACCGAAGTGTGTTGCGTTTTTGACTTTTTGGACTTCTTGTTCCACCGCGTGTTTGCTCCGTGTGTCACCCGCTACCAGTCCTCAACGCATGCAAGAGGGAGGCTTTCCGCCGATGACATCCACAAACTACAGCCAATGGCGTGTGATCATACACATACGCCCTGCTCGCGTCCACGAAGCAGAGCGTATTGTCCAGTTTCGATTGCACACGGCCTGTAAACGTGGACCGAAGTGTGTTGTACGCTAGTAACTAACCACTAGTGCGCGTGCACACGCCGGATGTGACCAAACCAAACGGACAAAAATCAACGCAACAAGATAACAGGGGGAAATCCGGCCTCCGGGTCAAAACCCCCACCAATATTCACCGCTCCATCAGACACTGTCGTTGTTGCGCTACTAGAGCAAGATCAGTACATGCATAATGCCAGCCGCGCCAGAGTCCACGCTCGGAATCGCTATCTACAAACGTGGGCGGCATGCTATCATATCCTGCCTGCATGAAGTACCGAGATCATAACCCTGTTCCCAACAACGCCCTATCCCATTTCTTGGTAAGCAATAATAGGCTAAGACTATCCTCAGCAGTTGGTCCAGAGAACTACCATGCGGCTGCACTTCTGTTGGTTATTCAAAACAACATCAGACAAACATCGAAATCGCCCCCCCCTCGCTGAGGTAACACAGCGGACCGGGGCATAAAGCAATCATCCAACATTTTCTGAATGACACGTAGCCGGCATGCACTTTTCGACAATCCTCTATTCTCGAGGACGTACAACACTGGTGTCCTTATTTTTCCTCATTCGTTCCTTCAACGGTTCCAACAGTATCCCATCTCCCTGCACATGTCGCAACCTAGAGGATGGCACCACGTAGCTGCAATCAATGAGAGTCTCAAACGAATGGCTACCAGGAAATACTGAACATGTGGACGCGAACGCCCACGAGAAACATGGAACACCGTCCCTGGCCCTTCAACCAAAGTGCACTCATGACAACTAACGAGGATTTACCGACTTCGCTACGAATACCATCAAACACCAAATACCGTCAAGGAAGAAGTGCCACTCCAGCACTGTGATGCGTGTTGCTCCCCTCCCAGCGCTCGTCCCGGCCTGTAGCCTCGCCAGAAAAGGAGTTCCTGCTTTAGCACCACGATGCAAGTACCCTCCCCCCACGCCCCTTCCGACGTGCCGCGGGATTCCCCCTCACGCCCCTTCCGGCGCGCCACGCGGCTGCTTCGATTTTCTCCCCCCCTCATCGGGGTTGGGTTTTCATCGCTTGGCAGCGACGTTGTACAACAAGCCCCCCCCTCGGTGTTTGCCATCGTGATTGGGTTTTCGTCGCTTGGCAACGACGTTATATAACGAGCCAATTCACTTCGTGAACTCGGCAACCGGGTAACCGTTTTTTTTTTTACTCTTTTTTTTTTCGGTGGTAACCATAATGGTGGTCGAGTAGATCATGTTGTGCGGGGTCGAGAACCCTCACTCCGCGCAAGGGGGATGATCGCACCACGTTGTGTGAAAATGGTCAAGCACCCTCGAGGCAGTTACACAGTGCTTACAAATGTCTCTGGAAGTGAAAGCACCAGAAACTAAATTAAGTCATACGCAGCTGTCATCCGTACGCAAGGAAGCACAAGGTGCCGAACACCCTTAGCAGGATGCAGCGCACCCTTCATGCGACTCGCCGAATATCTCACGGCGCTTCGCGCTTGGTGATGTGAGANCCCCCCTCACGCCCCGTCCGACGCACCATGGGGCCTTTGACTCTTTTTCCCACCTCGCGCCCCGTCCGACGCGCTACGGGGCTCATGTTTGCCTCCGGCCCACGTCCTTCCGACGCGCTATGGGGCTGCATTGATTGTTGCCCTCCCGCGCCCCTCCCGTCGCGGCTGTGGGCACACGGCCATATCGCCGTGTTCTGTGAACATTGCCCCTCCACGCCCCTCCCGTCGCGGCTGTGGGCACACGGCCATATCGCCGTGTTCTGTGAACATTGCCCCTCCACGCCCCTCCCGTCGCGGCTATGGGCCTCAATTATGGTTGAAGTACGATGCCCCCCCGCACGCTCCTTGCTGCGCGGCACGGGGCTGTTTTGCTTGCTGCCCTCGCGCGCCCCTCCCGTCGCGGCTATGGGCACACGGTCATCTCGCCATATTCTCTGAATATTTCCCCCCCACGCACCTTCCGTCACGGCTATGGGCACAAGGCCTTGCGGCCGGTTTTCTGAGTCTCCACCCTTCCACGCTGCTGCAATGGTGCCACCTTCACCATCTCCTGCTGCTGCTGCTGTGTGTGGATGGTTCGAGTGTGGATGGTGCGCGCGCAGTGACCTGCGCGGCTGTTATGTCTTTCCTCCGCCCCTTCTTACAAGGCCTCACCTGCTACATCTAGCTTCATCGGCTTGTTTTGATGGCGCGTCGACGGCGTCGTGGGGATGCATGCTGCCCCAGCTCTCCAGACGCGAGCACTTTGCCGCGGTCAACAGGCACACTTGGTGTGCCGTCTGCGGCACCCCCTCCAGCGCCGCACAGCTGTTTTCGACGTGATGAGTACGTTGCTCTGACTCGTCGGCCAGTGCCTCGAGCGGCGGCTGCATCTCTACCAGCGCTGCCTATCTTGTAAAGGTATTCGGTGTTCTGGAATCTATCAAACCCACCGTCAGCAGGGACCTGAAATGCCCACACCGGTTCTCCTTCCGCAACCGGCCTTCTGTTGTTGGTCTCTCCTGCACCCGTGTAGTCTATGCAAGCGCCCACCGCTGCCCGGTCCTATGCCCGGGTCCACTCCAGCAGGGATCCTTGGCACTACCAGGCTGGCTCCCGGTCTGGTGCTTCTTCCCCCGTGCTGTGCGGACGGCGTGATTCCGATATTGTGCGGCCCCTCTTTCAGCAGGCCGTGAGCAGACGTAGCGCCGGTAACGACAGCGCCCACCCCAGCGCCGCCGGACTCCCCCTCGTTCTCTAACTTTCCGAGGGCGGCTCGGAGAGGCCCTGCCAGCTGCTGTACCTCGTCCGTCAGGCCTGAAACTTTGCTCTCCAGGTTGTCAACTCTGCCCTGCGTACGAATGGTGACGTCGGCAGTCTCTGCTGCAACATCGGCGCCTCTCATCTCCAGCACGGGTTCCCTCGAGGGATACAGCTCTTGTTAGTATACTTGTATGTGTGTTGAAGATGGTGATATCACTTGTATTTAGGACAGCAGACACGATCAGGATGCAGCGGGAGAGAGAGAGTGCCGCGACACAGCAAGTACTCCCGCAGGTCCGAGCCCCGTGTATCAAACATGAACCAACCCAGGGGACTTATCAATTCCTATCTGCGTAGCCACCTCCTTCAGTCCCGTTGGAATATTCCACAGGTCCGTTCTGTAGGGTACTGATACTTCTGTAGGGTACTGGGAGAGTTACAGAGCTGTTTGTGAAATCTCTGTAGGGTACTGGGGTCTCACAGAACTCCTCTGTAAAATCTCTGCATGTGCTGGGGTCTCACAGAACTCCTCTGTAAAATCACTGTATGTACTGGGGTCTCACAGAACTTTTCGGTAGGGTACAGGGAGAATACAAAACATTCTGTGAAATCTCTGTAGGGTACTGGGCGAGTACCGAACGTTCTGTGAAATCTCTGTAGGGTACTGGGATCTCACAGAACTCCTCTGTAAAATCTCTGCATGTGCTGGGGTCTCACAGAACTCCTCTGTAAAATCACTGTATGTACTGGGGTCTCACAGAACTTTTCGGTAGGGTACAGGGAGAATACAAAACATTCTGTGAAATCTCTGTAGGGTACTGGGCGAGTACCGAACGTTCTGTGAAATCTCTGCAGGGTACTGGGAGAGTACCGAACTTTCTGTAAAATCTCGGTAGATACTGGGGAGAGTACCGAACTATCTGTGAAATCTCTGTAGGGT